CCTGTACAGTGCGGCCGCGCGGACACCCCCAGCCCTGGCGCAGCTGCGCTGCAGGCGGTCAGAGGCATTTTAAAGACACGCCCGAAACATTCCAGCCAAGCTGTGTTATTTTCTCCATAGGGGCATAGCTTCCCCCACTTCCGGGCCATTTCCTCCACTGTTTTCATTCCATTTCCCTTCACATTCCCACCCACCCACATTCCTTCGGGGCCGCGCGTGACGTCTCTGCGCGTTCGATGGTGGCGGAGTGCGTCGTCGTGCACCTCGCCATCCCGCGGACATGTCGGTCCCCGGAGGAGGCCACGGGCGCGGCGGCCAGGAGGGTGAAAGGGCACTCACGCCCAGCCCCCGGCCCAGCCCGCGGGCGTCGCGGCGCTTGCAGCAACGCGTCGAGTTCTACGAGACCGGCTGGTCCGTGGGCGCGGTAGCCCCCGAGGGGGCGGGGGCCTCGCGCCTGGACGTGGCCGAGGTGGAGCGTCGCTTGGAGGCGGAGCGCCGCAACCGCCGGGACGCCGTTGGCCCCGGCCGGCTGCAGGAGACGGTCCGTCTGCGGCCGACGCCCACCTCGTCGCCACGGCCGACGTCGCCCCTGCCGCCGAGGGCGCCACCCCGCGGCCTCCCGGGCCTCCTGTTGTCGTCACCGGAGGACCCCGCCTCGCTAGAGGAGACCTACGAGCGCACCGATGAGGAGGGCGACCTGGTGACCGGCGCCAGGATCGTGACGAGGGAGCGAGTCAGCGTGCGGCGCAGCGTCCGCGAGGTGACTATCAGCAGGACGCCGTCCGACGACCACCTCGTGGACGACTCGGCCTACCAGTCCCGCGTGCACGGGCGGTACACGGAGCAGGCATCCACGGCATCCACGGCAAGCGGGCTGCTCTCGCCGACGTCCATCACCACGACGAGGAGCCTGTCCTCGTCGCAGACCTCGCTCAGCGGCCAGTTCCCGTCCGAGGAGAACCTCGCGGGGCTCGTGAGGACGCCGTCGAGGGAGCGCCTCGGGGAGACGGAGTGGTACGCGGACCTGCACCACACCGAGGCGTCCCGCAGACACGAGCTGGTTCGGCGGGCGTCCCAGTACGACAAGCACATCCAGCACATCCGAGGTACTCGTCGTCTGCGACCCTTAGTTTTCCCTCGCGCCCTCCCCCTCCGCCCGTATGTGACACTATTCCTTTCCTGGGGCTACATTCTTCTGCATCGATTCGGTAGCTCGAATGTCTCCACTGTCAGCCGTGCCGTCAGGCGACGCGAAGGCTGGTACCACAAGGACCCTCCTCCCACACTCCCTACTGGGGGTCGGCGGAGGTGGATTGGGGGGGGGGGCTTTCGGGTTAATAGTCCTGGATGCATCGTGTGGCTTTCGGTCAAATCTCCCTTGCACATCGGCAGAGAGGTCAGAGCGGGTCAGAGCAGAGCCCAGCGGTGGTCCCCGGCTTCATTAAGGAGCTCCGCGGTCAGGTTCACATTTTTACTTCGTGCCCGTCGGGCACCACAAGATGTGGCTGCCATTCGACACACTTGGGCGGTGGAGCGGAAACCATAGATAGGCGCCTGCAGCCCCGCCCCGCCCCGCCGATGCACCGTCATACACCTGTTGAGCACGCGCTGAGCACCGCGGGCCCGGGCCGGGTCCGCACCGCAGTCGCCTGCACTTCGACGGCCTCGACCATCGATACGGTTCGGCGCGGTGGGGAGCAGGGGGTAAGGGGCAGCAGCGGTGGTCTCATCAGGATCAGCGGAGCAGGGGAGAACCACATAAGCCAGCAGGTGTCTATAGCATTCCACGGGGATCGAGTGACTTTCAGTGTTCCCAGATATCAGCGCGGGGCAGCCCATTGCCGAAACCCGGGCGGCCGCGGAGGCGTCGTCCGTTTCGGCCCCTCCACTCAACGCAGTTTGAATATCTCCCGCCCGGAATGGCTTGATTGGGTCTCGCGGGGCGGAGAAGGTAAACGGCACGACTACACAACGAGTTCGCGTGCTGCGCCGCCGCCGTCCTGCAGGCCGGACCATGTGTGTTGTGTTCGGCCCGTGGTCCGGCCGCCGCCGGCCGGCCTCGCCCTGCGCACGCGAGCGAGATGGAGCTGCGCACCGGGCTGGTTGGGGCGTTGGGGCCTTAATCGTGTGCACCTGCCCTTCCCTTCCGCCAGACGCACGGAGGAGGAGTGCGCGGAGGCCGCCGGTTGCCGCCGGTGAACATACACGAACCGTTCATTTCCCTCTTTTACCCGCCACACCTGGCCAAACCTTTTTTGTTTTTCGGCAGCTCACGTCCTCTGCCCGCCGCCGCCTCTCCCTTTCCTGCAGAGTTCGCTAAACTAATCGCAGCTGCCTTGTAAGGGACGCCGGCGCGCGGGCTGCGGCATGTGTTTCCGATGCTCGCGCGGGTCAGCGGCGCTTTGGGGCTCGGCTGGACCCGGCCTGCCCGGCAGCCTCCCCCGCAAAGAGGCGAGTCGCCCTGTGAGATCACCCGGTGTCATCTGTTTTGCATAACGCTCGCGACCGCCGCCGTCCTTGCGTGCGTGTCCAGAAAGAGAGAGAGAGAGGGAGGGGATCGTTCAAGGATGTCGCGGTGCAGCATGGTGCAGCCCGCACGGGGCGGGGCCGATATGGTGCGGTTGAGAGCGAGAATAAATGAATAAAATCAAATCACTCCGACCACCGTACATAGCGGTGCGTGTACGAAAATCCCGTTTGGCCAGGCGCGCACGCCGCGGCCTCGCCGAACCGCTTTTCTGATACAATTATTTTATTTTTCATCACTCTATCCTCCTCATCTCGTCCATTCCTGTCGACGGCCACGTTATGTAAAACGTTTAATTCGGGTCTCAAGGCTTCCTTCCCAGGCCGTGTTACGTGAGAGGGGAGTGTATGGAAGTGCGAGAGAGAACATCGTCCCCCCGATATCGTTCTCACTCGCACCCGTCCAGCTCGCTCGCTCTCACTGATCCGCGGCATGCTCAGGCCGCGCGGCGTGGCCCGGC